TAGTGACACCCCTGCTTTTCATTGGGGGGATGGTGCATCGTCTGCCAAGTCTTTTGCTTTCATAGTGAGTGATTTTCGTGTGCGAGTTCGGTACTAGTCCCTCTAGGATTTTCCAGGTGTATATAATCATGTATCTCTCCCTCCTGCGTTCCAGGGAATACAGGTTTAGAAACCTCAAGCGCTCCCAGTAATTGAAGTGTTTTATCTCCGTTATGCGCGCCGTGAAAGTTCTCTGTACATTTTCTAGGTCGGCAATTTCACCTGCCTTGAAAGGTGCTGTTAAGAGTGCAGCAATATTCCAGCCTAGAAAGAACAAGTGACCTGAAGAGTGTCATCATGGGCTTGGCCTCCCTAGTTTTGAAGGTTCTCATTATCCATCCTGTCATTTTTCTAGCAGATGCGATTGATACAATGTTATGGTCCATGAAGGTGAGATCCTCCGACATAATCACTCCCAGGTCTTTGACGTTGGTGTTTCGCTCTATTTTGTGGCCAGAATGAGTTTGGAATATTGGCAGTTTGGAGGGATATGTTGTGTATCTCTAAACGTATATGCTTCTAAGCTGTTGTATTCTGAGCACCTCTGCAAAAGCAGTGATAATGTGTGAGTGTGGTGAAAGTGTTGAATGATGATGAAAGTATTTTCTTTTTGGGGATTTTCTTTCTTTTTTTTGGGTCACCCTGCCTCGGTGGGAGATGGCCGACTTGTTGAAAAAAAAAAAAAAAAAAAAAAAAAAAAATGTTTACCATATCTGAGTAATTGAAATTTCTCATCGTTGAACTTCATATTGTTTTCTGCAGCCCACTGAAAGATTTGGTTGATGTCCGCCTGGAGCCTTGCAGTGTCTGCAATGGAAGACACTGTCATGCAGATTCGGGTGTCATCTGCAAAGGAAGACACGGTGCTGTGGCTGACATCCTTGTCTATGTCGGATATGAGGATGAGGAACAAGATGGGAGCTAGTACTGTGCCTTGTGGAACAGAGCTTTTCACCGTAGCTGCCTCGGACTTTACTCTGTTGACGACTACTCTCTGTGTTCTGTTAGTGAGGAAATTATAGATCCATCGACCGACTTTTCCTGTTATTCCTTTAGCACGCATTTTGTGCGCTATTACGCCATGGTCACACTGTCGAAGGCTTTTGCAAAGTCTGTATATATTACATCTGCATTCTTTTTGTCTTCTAGTGCATTTAGGACCTTGTCGTAGTGATCCAATAGTTGAGACAGACAGGAGCGACCTGTTCTAAACCCATGTTGCCCTGGGTTGTGTAACTGATGGGTTTCTAGATGGGTGGTGATCTTGCTTCTTAGGACCCTTTCAAAGATTTTTATGATATGGGATGTTAGTGCTATTGGTCTGTAGTTCTTTGCTGTTGCTTTACTGCCCCCTTTGTGGAGTGGGGCTATGTCTGTTGTTTTTAGTAACTGAGGGACGACCCCCGTGTCCATGCTCCCTCTCCATAGGATGGAAAAGGCTCGTGATAGGGGCTTCTTGCAGTTCTTGATGAACACAGAGTTCCATGAGTCTGGGCCCTGGGGCAGAGTGTATGGGCATGTCATTTATCGCCTGTTCGAAGTCATTTGGCGTCAGGATAACATCGGATAGGCTTGTGTTAATCAAATTTTGTGGCTCTCATAAAAAAATTCATTTCGATCTTCGACTCTCAGTCTGGTTAGCGGCTTGCTAAAAACTGAGTCATATTGGGACTTGAGTAGCTCACTCATTTCCTTGCTGTCATCTGTGTAGGACCCATCTTGTTTAAGTAGGGGCCCAATACTGGACGTTGTTCTCGATTTTGATTTGGCATAGGAGAAGAAATACTTTGGGTTTCTTTCGATTTCATTTATGGCTTTTAGTTCTTCCCGCGATTCCTGACTCCTAAAGGATTCTTTTAGCTTAAGTTCGATGCTTGCTATTTCTCTGACCAGTGTCTCCCTATGCATTTCAGATATATTGACCTCTTTTAGCCGCTCTGTTATTCTTTTCCGTCGCCTGTAAAGGGAGCGCCTGTCTCTTTCTATTTTACATCTACTCCTCCTTTTTCTTAGAGGAATAAGCCTTGTGCATACATCGAGTGCCACCGAGTTAATCTGTTCTAGGCATAAGTTGGGGTCTGTGTTGCTTAGTGTATCTTCCCAGCTTATATCGGTTAGGACTTGGTTTACTTGGTCCCACTTTATGTTTTTGTTATTGAAGTTGAATTGGTGAATGCTCCCTCGTGACTAGTCTCATTTTGTCGGTCTGGGGCTCCACGCATACATTTCTGAACCTCAATTATGTTGTGATCTGAGTATATTGTTTTTGATATGGTGACATTTCTTATCAGATCATCATTGTTAGTGAAGATGAGGTCTAGTGTATTCTCCAGTCTAGTAGGCTCTATTTTTTGCTGGTTTAAATTGAATTTTGTGCAGAGATTTAAAAGCTCGTGTGAGTGTGAGTTTTCATCAGAGCTGCCTCCTGGTGTTATTACTGCAACAATATTATTTGCTATATTCCTCCATTTTAGGTGCCTTAAGTTGAAATCCCCCAGGAGCAAGATGTTGGGTGCAGGAGCTGGAAGATTTTCCAGACAGTGGTCAATTTTTAACAGCTGTTCCTGGAATTGCTGGGATGTTGCATCTGGAGGCTTGTAGACTACCACAATGACTAGGTTTTGGTTCTCGACCTTTACTGCTAAAACTTCCACTACATCATTTGAGGCATTAAGCAGTTCTGTGCAAACAAGTGACTCTGCAATGTACAGGCCAACCCCCCCCCCTTTTGCCTGTTCACTCTGTCACATCTGTATAGGTTGTAACCTGGGATCCATATTTCGTTGTCCAAGTGATCCTTTATGTGGGTCTCAGTGAAAGACGCGAACATTGCCTTTGCCTCTGCAAGCAGTCCACGGATGAAAGGTATTTTGTTGTTTGTTGCTGGCTTTAGACCCTGTATATTTGCAAAGAAGAATGTTATCGGACTGGTGGTATTGTTGGTACTGGGGGGGGATTTTTTTTCCGGCATTAGTATCTGTATCTGTAGCTGTATTAGTATCAGTATTAGTATCTGTATCTGTATCTGTAGCTGTGTAAAGCAGGTCTAGCATTTTTACAATTGTGTTGTTTGTTTACCTGGAGAGAGTTCTGGGGGTCAACACCCCCGCAGCCCGGTCTGTGACCAGGCCTCATGGTGGAACAGGGCCTGATCAACCAGGCTGTTACTGCTGGTTGCATGCAATCCAACATACGAGCCACAGCCCGGCTGGTCAGGTACCGACTTTAGGTGCCTGTCCAGTGCCTGCTTGAAGACAGCCAGGGGTCTATTGGTAATCCCCCTTATGTATGCTGGGAGGCAGTTGAACAGTCTTGGGCCCCTGACACTTATTGTGCTGTCTCTTGGCATGCTAGTGACACCCCTGCTTTTCATTGGGGTGATGTTGCATCGTCTGCCGAGTCTTTTGCTTTTGTTTAGTTAGTTTTAGTTTAATATGTTTATTATGCACCCCATACCCATCCTGTGGGCCGTAGTCAAAAGATTACAGAGGTACATAATTGGTCCAGGGACTGGGCTCCAAAGTTTTGATAGCTGAGCAAGTTACAGAGGTAATGAACTCACAATTTACAAAGGTAATGAACTCACAATTTACAAAGGTAATGAACTCACAATTTACAAAGGTAATGAACTCCAGGTAAGTCTGGTCACAATCATGACAAGTTACAAAGGTATTTACAGATTACAGAGGTACATAATGGGTCCAGGGACTGGGCCCCCAAAGTTTTGATAGCTGAACTAGGTACAAAGGTAATGAGCTCACAAGTTACAAAGGTAATGAATTCTGTAGAATGGTTACTTACGTTTATACATGGCTACAATCATGAACAAATTATAGAGTAATGAGCAATTCACACTTCCACTTTTGGAGAGAGTGATTTTCGTGTACAAGTTCGGTACTAGTCCCTCTAGGATTTTCCAGGTGTATATAATCATGTATCACTCCTGCCTGCATTCCAGGAAATACAGGTTCAGGAACTTCAAGAGCTCCCAGTAATTGAGGTGTTTTATCTCCGTTATGCGTGCTGTGAAGGTTCTCTGTACATTTTCTAGGTCAGCAATTTCACCTGCCTTGAAAGGTGCTGTTAATGTGCAGTAATATTCCAGCCTAGATAGAACAAGCGACCTGAAGGGTGTCATCATGGGCTTGGCATCCCTAGTTTTGAAGGTTCTCATTATTCATCCTGTCATTTTTCTAGCAGATGCAATTGATACAATGTTATGATCCTTGAAGGTGAGATCCTCCGACATGATCACTCCCAGGTCTTTGACGTTAGTTTTTCGCTCTATTGTGTGGCTGGAATTTGTTTTACATGTATATTCTGATGAAGTTTTAATTTCCTCATGTTTACCATATTGGAGTAATTGAAATTTCTCATTGTTGAACTTCATATTGTTTTCTGTAGCCCATTAAATGATTTGATTGATGTCCACCTGGAGCCTTGCAGTGTCTGCAATGGAAGACACTGTCATGCAGATTCGGGTGTCATCTGCAAAGGAAGACATGGTGCTGTGGCTGACATCCTTGTCTATGTCGGATATGAGGATGAGAAACAAGATGGGAGTGAGTACTGTGCCTTGTGGAACAGAGCTTTTCACCGTAGCTGCCTCGGACTTTACTCTGTTGACTACTACTCTTTGTGTTCTGTTTGTGAGGAAGTTATAGATCCATCTACCAACTTTTCCTGTTATTCCTTTAGCACGCATTTTGTGCGCTATTACACCATGGTCACACTTGTCGAAGGCCACACTTGTCGAAGGCCACACTTGTCGAAGGCCACACTTGTCGAAGGCTTTTGCAAAGTCTGTGTATATTACATCTGCATTCTTTCTGTCTTCCAGTGCATCTAGGACCTTGTTGTTGTGGACACAATACCAAAAATCTCTATGACATTTCCTGTTGGAACTTATTCGGTCCGAGAAGTCCCAACGGGGAAAAACACACCGTTCGAGGGCCCTTACACTCACCCAAAACACAAACACACTCACCCGGGTTGGCGAAGGTGGTTGGAAGGTACTTCTTAATTGATAGATTTACTCTTCAAGGAAGAATTAGGTAGTTTATACTGTTAGTACACTAATATTAGGATTATTGAGGCAACTGTAGATAATAATAATGTAGACCTAAGACCTTAACATAGGTAGTAATAGGCCGAATGTAGGCAAACACTAGGTTATGTTAGCTAGGGAGAACTGGCAGTCCCAGTTTGAACGACGAGGCGTGGGTCTCGAAGATGCCAGAGCTCCTTTCTAAGTCTAGACACCATCTGAACAACACGTGCCATGATCAGCAGGCGGTGCCCACACGTGTCTTCACATATTAGACCTGGGGAAATCTGGTGGAGGCACCTCGATGTACCGTAGATGACCTCCTCTGTCAGGCCCATACAGTAAGACAAGACCTCCACTTTTTCTTAGGATCCTGGCCAGTGTCTGGGGAAAGTTGCGAGTGAGTTGAGCTGTAGGCCTTTGTGTAGCCGGCAGTTCATGACCAGTACGTGATTTTGTCTCTTATCTACCTAGAAGCTAGTGTCCGTTTCTGCATAGTTATACTAGGGGATACACACCCCCTTGGAAATAGGAATTTCTGAGGTGCAGACAGGTCACTAATAAAGATTGAATATTACAGGAATCAAGGCTCCCGGTTGCACGTGGATCAGAGGGCAAGTCCAGAGGGACTAAAACTTAGGGAGGTTGAAGACCAGAATAGCTTCTACATCACCAAGTAAGTTAGTCCTTTAAACGTGCATGCAGGCGAGATTTCTTGCAACATCAGTCATTTATGAAAATCTGTCCTATAAGCCACTTGTGAGGCTGGGGTACCGACCTCAGAGCTCGGTGTCAACAGAGCTTGCCAGGGTAGGAGACTCACTTGGAGGTAGTCCAGACAAATTTTCACATTTCCCATATCAGGTTAAATCTTTTAAAAAACTCAATGTACATAAAACTACCCAAAATCTAGAACTCCGCTAGAAATCTCCAGAACTACTGACTCATCTAGTATTTTTAAAACTACAGTAAGAAAGCACCTTTTGTCCTTAACCTGTCCTAGTCCATCATAAATAAATATGTAAAAACCATACGTGCAATTGCTCAATATCATGAACGTAGGTAAAATAATATCTGTAATCATTTCAAATGTAATGTCAATCATTCCATTGTGTCCACCTAAGATTAATAATCAAAACTGTAATTCGACTCTACCAAACTTACTAAAGCCATATAGCATGGACAAACAGAATATTAAATTTTCTTGTAATCATCGTAACTCACCCCCCTCAAGGGAGGTTCCTTGATGCTGGTGAGGGGCTCTTGATCTTGAGAATTGGATCTGTGCTCTAGTTCAGTGAATTAAGCTTGAATACCTTCTCTCCCCCTTCCCCTAACAGGCGCTATATAATCCTACAGATTTAGTACTTCCCCATAATTATACTAATAATGTAACTCATCCACTGACCATATGTACAGTTATTGCACTGATATTGCTTTATTAATCTTAATTAAGTTAGTTTTAAGTTTGCCCGAAATACTCTGCATATAAAAGGGCTTTTGGCATGTACACTGAATTGTTGTACTTTGTACAAACATGTATCATACTGAAATAAAAATTATTATTATTATTAACAGTTGTTAGTTTAATATGTTTATTATGCACCCCATACCCATCCAGTGGGAGGCAGTCAAAAGAGGTACATAATGGGTCCAGGAACTGGGCTTCCAAAGTTTTAATAGCTGAGCAAGTTACAAAGGTAATGAACTCAGAAGTTAGAAGGGTAATGAATCATGTAAGTAAATTTACTTGCTTACATTTATACATGGCTACAATCGTGAACAAATTATAGAGTAATGAGCAATACACACGTCCACACCCGGTAACCTCTGTAATGAGTTACTGGTGCAAAATCCTTCCACTTTGGTCGAGGTTCCTTCCCCGAGCGCTGGAAGACCGGGTTCGATACGACGTATCTTGTCAGTGGCTCTATAAACCCCAACAACAACTAACAGGTATATTTGGTGGTATACTTTAATGTACAGCACTTTACAATATATTTGAGGACACTTAGATGTTATGCAACATATAATTCATATACCACGTAGACCATACCAGGGATAAACCACCATATTGACCATACCAGGGATAAACCACCGTATAGACCATACCAGGGATAAACCACCATATTGACCATACCAGGGATAAACCATCGTATAGACCATACCAGGGATAAACCACTGTAGACCATACCAGGGATAAACCACCGTATAGACCATACCAGGGATAAACCACCGTATAGACCATACCAGGGATAAACCACCATATTGACCATACCAGGGATAAACCATCGTATAGACCATACCAGGGATAAACCACCGTATAGACCATACCAGGGATAAACCACTGTAGACCATACCAGGGATAAACCATCGTATAGACCATACCAGGGATACCACGTAGACCATACCAGGGATAAACCACCATATTGACCATACCAGGGATAAACCACCGTATAGACCATACCAGGGATAAACCACCGTATAGACCATACCAGGGATAAACCACTGTAGACCATACCAGGGATAAACCACCATATTGACCATACCAGGGATAAACCACCATATTGACCATACCAGGGATAAACCATCGTATAGACCATACCAGGGATAAACCACCGTATAGACCATACCAGGGATAAACCACTGTAGACCATACCAGGGATAAACCACCATATTGACCATACCAGGGATAAACCACCATATTGACCATACCAGGGATAAACCATCGTATAGACCATACCAGGGATAAACCACCATATTGACCATACCAGGGATAAACCACCATATTGACCATACCAGGGATAAACCACCATATTGACCATACCAGGGATAAACCATCGTATAGACCATACCAGGGATAAACCACTGTAGACCATACCAGGGATAAACCACCGTATAGACCATACCAGGGATAAACCACTGTAGACTAAACACTTATGTACTCACCTAATTGTGGTTGCAGGGGTTGAGACTCAGCTCCTGGCCCCGCTCTTCACTGAATGCTACTAGGTCCTCTCTCTCCCTGCTCCATGAGCTTTATCATACCTCATCTTAAAGCTATGTATGGTTGGTCTTTATTTATTCTACTGTACCACTGTGGAGACAACTTGTACACAATGTGAGGTGTTTGTATGAACTTGTATCAGCCATAACCAGACACTTCGTTCATTTGTTTACATAGTACTCTGCTTGGGTGGGGTGGCTAAGCTGGCTACCCTACCTCCCACACCTGACTTTCTACAAATAAATACTTTTCACCTCTCACCCTACATTAAGACCATTAACCCTTTGACTGTCGCAGGCCCCTTTCTGAAAGTGTCATTCTATGTCACAAAATATTCGAAAAAAAAAATTATTTTTCTTACCAAAATGTTAGGACTATTTTACTGAGTGTTTTAAGCCTAAAAAAATTTTTTGCAAAGTTGGCAGAAAATGAGCAGCGTATGGCAAAGCGGCGAATGCCGCCCACCCAGTATTCTTTTATTTACTCCATTTTGAAGGTTTCTTGTATTTTCCTGTGAGACCAAAGTAAGGTGCATTGTTCAAATATACACTCATTGTTTACAACACAATAACTGAACAAACATTATCACCATTAGATTGTGTTTACACAAACAAACAATACAAAACATTGTTTATTACTATTGTTCCATAATATATATACATATATACAGTCACTGAACACTTTCCTAGAACTGCTGCAGCTTGTGGAATTCTTTGAAACATGGGTATATTCAGAGTGGTACTTGACATTTCTCACACATGAAACGAGTGTCTGCATGTTTGTGGGTGTTTTGTGGTATGTCCACATACAAAACACCTCTTCTGAACATCTTTTCTTACAAGCAGTAGGAGGCAGTTGTATGGGGTAGTGATCACCAGGCCTCAGATGAGATGGCATGTGTTTGTAATTTTGTGGACGCTGGTCTATTGCAGGTGTTGCTCCTTGGTACTTGACGATTATTTGTCTGATGACTGACAAACAAAATTCACCATATTTTGGTTTGTTGTTGGCCCTCAACTTGTATATGTTATAAGCATTTAGCATGGAAATATCAAGAAGATGGAAAAAAGTTTTATGTACCACTTATAACTCCAGCATACACAATCAGCAAACCCAATCTGCATGTCACATTTGTCCACTAAGCGCATATTGAAGTTGTAGTCCATGACAGCTGCAGGTTTTAGAATGGGTTCATTGGTCTCTCTATTGTGCCTGCCAGTGTGTGCCATTTCGTTTCGGTGAACCAATGTTAAGAATGTGACATCACGTTTGTCATGCCACCGATATGCCATGATGTCATTGGCAGCAAAGGCCTGCACATCACCTCTGCGAGTGCCAGCATCGAACCTTGGCATATGCTTACGAATACCACGCACTGTGTCACACACGTCTGTCAGGTTCACTCGCAAGAAATCACTAAGTATGAGGCTTGTGTACCAGTTATCAGTATATAATATATGCCCCTTACCAAGATATGGTTCCATCATTGTTCGAACCACATCACCAGAGATACCCAATAACTTCCTGGTATCTCTCAATGTATTACTGCCAGTGTATACAATGATATCCATAATGACCACTTTTGCAATCACACAGTACAAATAACGTTATACCAAAGTATTTTCTCTTGCTTGGTATGTACTGCTTGAATGAGAGTCTTCCTTTGAATAAAACCAAAGCCTTGTCAATAACAAGCTTCCTGAAGGGATAAAAAAACATGCAACACTTTTGTTTCATGTACATAAACACATTTCTGATCTTATATAACCTGTCGCTTCTGTCAGGCCTTGTTTTGTCTGAAAAGTGTAACATACGTAACAGTATCAAAAAACGATTCACACCTATAATGTCACTAAAACCTGGGGTTGAAATCAGGCGTTCTGTTGACCAGTATCTGGTGACAGTGTGCTTACACACATGTGTCATAAGCATTATTGTGGCAAAGAACAGGTACATCTCTGCCACAGTTGTGTCCTTCCACTGGTGTAGCTGTGATCTTGGTGAAAGAATTGTATTTGCCATGGTGTACTCATAGTATGTGTTGGTTTCCCTGACAATAATGTCCATCAGGGGTTCATCAAAGAATAACTGAAAGCATTCTAGTTCAGTGGCATTGTTCCCAAGTGTACACGATGGCCATATTCCACTTTGTGTTTCATCAAAGTCATGGGGATTGGGAATAAAATCGTCACCTTGCTGCCAATCCCAGATGCGGTCTGCTGGTGGGTTCTGCATATTGAAACGTGGTTGTGGTTGTGCAAGTTGTGGTTGTGGTTGTTGTGGGAGTGTGGGGTTGGGCGAGGCTGGTTGTAGTTGTGCAGAGTTAGCAGCGTCAGGAGTAGCGTGGCCGCTGCTGGTGCCATATGACTCATGCCACCATCACTATCACCACCACCACCTGCTGCCTCACTCACATTGTTCATATCCATCGTAACAATATCGTCATCTTCACTATCAGGTTGTGGTGTAGGGCCACGGGATGTACTCCGAGATTTACTCCTTCCCCTTGGAACAGCATATGACACACTACCAGACCGCATGCTACGTCGTATATACTGCCGCTTCACTGGGGAATATTCACCCTCACTGTCGCAACTAGAACTGCTTTCAGTAACTTTGAAATCACTATCACTATCACTTTCACTGCTCACATCTGAGTCTTGTACACG